AGGGTTTTATGACATTTGCATGTCTGTTACAGTCGTGCACTACAAGTAAGAAAAGCACCCAGCTCAAAGGTCTTACAAGCACGGCTAGAAACATGTGCAGTGTTTTGGAAATTTCAAGAGACTGTGACCGATATCAACGGTCAGGAGCACTCAGTGAGTCGGCAGGTTTCAGCACGGAAAAATACATCACCCCTAACCTCAGCAAATGTTTGGAGGGAGTCTGACATGAACTGAAGTGTTGTTGGTCGACATGAGGAAGTGTCTTTGCTCCCGCAATGTAAACTCAGTTGCTGTTTTCTCAGGTACACCTTTTAATACAGTCTCATCCAGCGGTCATCCTACACTCATCGCCACTTTTAATGTGAACAAAGATGCTTGATTAATCACAGGTGTGTCTCACATGTGGTTGTACTACATCTTGTAAACGTTTTGCAGTTATTTTCACAGATGTTTATGTGTCACTTGTGCCCTTGTGACTGGATGATATCTTGCAAGATGGTCGCCTGGGCACTGCGCTCCCTGATGTGTAAATTACTGTATATATTTTTTAATCATTTCTTTTTTCCTTTCTATAGTTATTTTACTTTATTTTTTATTTTCCTATTTCTATTTTTCCTTGCTCATTTCTGGGCAACACCAACAGCCGAAACCAAATTCTTTGTATGTTGTGTACGTACTTGGCCATTAGCGCTGATTCTGATTCTGATGATATGATTTGCAAGCAGGGACAGCTCGGTAACACTAAAATCCTTCATTTATACCAGCATATTGTAAGACAATATAGCTCCATCAGAAAATTACACCTTGTATATTGCACTAATATTGTGATTTATATGCTATTTATATATCAAATGCTCAGCCCTGTCTGGAAGTTTATTTTTCACTTCTTTCTGTCATTCTGAAGGGAGGTGAAGTTTAGAGATTGCAGTGTCTTTCTCAAACACGTTACACTGCGATGTCAGCCCTTGTCAAGGTTGTTGTCTACATATTAGATCCTTCTGTTTGTGTTTGCCAGAGAAATTCCTTCCCTCGGTGTTAGCTTCAAAAAGGCTGCACAACTGCTACAAAAATCTACGGATTCAGAGCAACGCTGTCGTGTTTATCGTGTGTTTAGTTTATGTGTGATGAATGCTGTCACTTCTGTCCTGCCAAATAAACTCTTCTGGGGACAGAGCTGCTCAGCACAGAGTGGAAATATTCACTCACATTCATTAGCATTTGAACCAAGAGAATGACAGTTAACAGATTCAGACACACAGCAGTAACCTTGGACCTGATAGGTTCGACATCTCAAGAACTTTCCTGCAGAAGGACACACAACTGTAGCCACAGATCCAAATGTTTTTCACATTTCAGACATTGTTGAACTGTCTTCTGATTATTCTGAGGGCAGTAGCACAAACATGATTAACTGGTCGGACAGCATTTGGCTCTTATCCCAAGGCCCAACAGAACAGCAGGATGCCATAAAAAAAACACCAACACACAATTATTACTGCGTCTTTAAAACACAATGGTAGTAAGTTTTTAACCAATGATTTGTAATATAACATGTCATGGGTCAACAAAAAGACAAAAGTCTGTTGGGGTACATATTAGGTGATAATGATAGGGCGTCATTTGTGTTTAACAAACAGAGCTGAGACAAACCCTAAACTAACATTATCTTGGAACCAAAAGAGTAAATTCATCCTAAATTAAAGCTGCAAGCAGCGTTGGTCGGGTCCTCGGTCCGCGTTGGACCCTCATGCCCGTCTGACCTCCATTTTGACACAATTTAAACCTGCTTTAAGTTGAAGAAGCCATGTTTCTGTCTCTGCTTTTTGTTCTTTTTTTTTCATTTTATCACATTTTTCACAGATTCGGAGGTGCGTGCCAATTTTGGTGAGTTTTTGAGTGTGTTTAGGGGGTCAAATTAAGGGTTTCGCGTTCGTCAGGAGAATAATAATAGGAAGAAAGAAAGAAACGAAGCAGGAACAGGGTAAGGACCCCCACTTGCCTCGGACCCTAATAATTCCTGAACAACAACAAGACTTACATTAGAATGCATCTCTCACTAACTCCCGTGGCTAGGAAACCACAGGGTATGTGTGCAGCTCGCACAGCTAAATGGATCTTCTCAATCCAGCCTTTTAATTGGGTTCTGTTCTTTTCATCATCAGGCAAAGTCTCAGTGCGAAGGCCAGACTGAGCTCAGGAAACTTTGTGCTCTCTATTTTGTAGGGTTGCCCAAATGCCTGGTGCCGGTTATTACAGCCTGGTCCATATGCCAGAGTTCAGTGAGATCATGAGTCTGCAGATACGCTAGAAGCTCTGAGGCTGCACTTAGGGTAATACAAATGTCAGTGTGCTAACATGCTCACAGTGACATGCGGATGTTGAACAGGTTTATGGTTTACCAATGTGTTCGCATTAAACAGAACTTGTGGCTAATGGGAAAGCCACAGTTCTTCAGATTTGTGATATTTTCAAACAAAATTCTGACCTACCTATGAAAGGTCCCCTACCTGCAAGCAGACATTTCTGTATAAAATTTCAGATTAACCATATTGTTGGTTTTAGAAGTCGCACAGTTACTGAAATGGAGATCAACTGAGTGCAGCCTCAAGTGACTTTAGCGTAAAGACACTTGTACCTATAAGCTCCAGTCACGGGTAAATCAGTACTCCTGGTTATAGCGACACCACAAAAGAACATCCAAGCAACTCCTTCAAGGTTATTGAAGAGCACATGCCAGGGGATACGTCAAGAAGTTTTCCAGGCAGACGTGATATTTTCAGATAAAATTCTGACCTACTTATGAAAAGTCTCCTCCCTGTAAACATACATTTTTTCTATAAAATTTCAGATGAACCACACAGAAAACCCCAGCGCCCAACATGGACAACTGTTCTACTGGTGTCTGCCAGAAAATGTTTTGTCTGGCAGAGGCCAATGGAACAGATGCTGATACCTTGAATTAGCTTTACAGGAATGTATTTCCATGAAGATTGGTCAATGAAGTGTAAAGGTGCCTCGCGTTAGAATGACTGTGCCTATCTTGTTTGTGCTCGGACATCCTGGAAAGTTGCGAGAACGTACACAAACAATGTGGACAAGTGGGCTACAAGAACAACTGCTGGCAACGACTTGTGGTGGTTTTTTTCAAAAATATCTCTGCTAATATTTTTTTTTGCTCTACAGGTGACCAGACTTGGCAGCGGAAAGAATAGTTGCTGGTCACTTCAGCAGGGTTTGTTCCTTTTTTTAACCCCAGCCCACTACTGGCAGGGAGGTGTGGGCTCACTGGAAAATATTTTCCCCTTTCTGCTTTGATGAAAAAAATAGATGAATGCTTCGATTATGTCACAGTTTCACAACCCAGCTAATGTTCATTAACTTCCCTTTGTTGTTCCGCTGTAACGTCACATCATTTGCTGTTTTTATTCAATTTTATTGAATAAGAATTATTACATTATTTATCCAATTTTGTCAACTTTTTAGAAGAGTTTATTACCATGATGTAGTCTGCTCAAATATTGGAACAAAAGTGGTGTATTTGCTTTAAAATGCTGTCTTTTTGCAGTCGTGATCACAGAGCAGCCTGAGGTGTTGCACTAAACAAGGGAAATAGCTGCTCTCACTGCAGCGTAGCCGGTAACCTTTGGCCTAGATAATACAGCAACAAGCGCCAAGCGGCAGTCTGGCAATAAAAGCTCATTTGTCTGTGAACTGCAAAGATAGCACATGTTTCCTGATGAGGAATGCCAAAACACTGAAGAGTCCACTCACAGTTTAGCCGAAGAAATGCAAACTAGAACAAGCCCAAAGTAAACGTCCTGTGACATTGACGGAAAGGGAAGAGTACCTCAGAAAGATAGCCTCACGTCAGGGGATCTGTTGTCCTGTGTTACGCTTCCATTCCAGGTCAATTCATCTGGTGCCTCTGGGGGGAAAACACAAGTCTAGATGCCCCAGTCACACCAGGACAAGTGTTACTCGCAGCTCTGGTCATGAGTGAGTCCATGAGTGAGGTTTTGAGAGAGAGCGGCGTTTGAGCGGTCTGACAATGAGAGAGTGCAGAGAGAGGAGGGGTCGGAGTGTTTCTGAATGATCAACTTAAGGCGGGGACTGTTCCACCCGGCCACATGGTCTCACAGCAAAGAGAGCAGGAGGGGATTTGCACATTAGCCAGCCGAGCTGTATGGCTCTATAGGTGCCTGTGTAGGCTGCACCACTCCAGAGTCTAGACCGAATGAATGCAACAGACTTATCCTCTGACTCTTCCTCAGCGCCACCGTGAGGTTGACAAGAAAGTTGCTGGGTTGGCAGGTTGTGTTTGGAGAAGTTTCTCAGACAGCTACAGAATGCATTCATCCTCCCTTGGAAGTTTTTCCTTTTTATTGCTTCTTAACATTGAATCATGGTTGATTTCATTTGTCTTTTTTGACAAGAATTTACAAGTTTTTAAAAAAAATCTAATTTAAGCGTTTTGATGAAGAAAGTCATTCTCTCTTCTTTTGATGGTCACCAGACCATTTGATTCCATCATCTTTTGTCATGTGTTCTCTTACCTCCTGCAAATGGGTTCGCAACTATACCGGTTGGTCACCAGACCCTTCCCCGATTCCACCACCTTTTGTTCATTGTCCTCTTACCTCCTGTCATTGATTAGCAACTGCATGCTAACTAACCTGTATTCACTTTGATATTTACATACAGGCCATCCCTACCCTCTGACACATCCTAGAAAATGTGTAACACTGCAAATGTTCTTGGTCGGTTTACCTTCACAGACTCGGTGTTGGTGAGCCCACCGTATACCAAAATACTAATAAACAAACTTCACATGAGGACCATGGGTACAATTTCTTCAAGCATAGGTATTCAAGTGTTCTCTTTTGAGTGATTGGTGTAATTCACACTAATTCACACAGCGACAGCCAGTTGGTGTTAGAAGTGACACACTTACTGAAATGGAGGTCAACTGAGTGCAGTGAATGTGTCTCAGGTGACTGTAATGTAAGGACACTTGTACCTATAAGCTCCAGTCACTGGTAAATCAGTACTCCTGGTTATACCTACACCATGTCCACAAAAGAACATCCACGCAGTTCCTTAAAGAAGGTTTTTGAAGAGCGTATGTCAGAAGATACGTCAAGAAATTTTCCAGACAGTACCTCTCTACATGATTGATTTTCTGTGTTAACCCTGCAGTGTCTAAACTATCAGCTTTTTGACTTGTAAACAACTCTCAGGCACTTTGATAGTATGACGCATCAGTTTTTATGTAGTCCACATTCTCTTTAAGTCTTTTTTGGTAGTCTTTAGCCATTGAATGCAACAAGGATGTTTAACGCTCCCCTTCTGTATTCAAACCAGCATGACAGATACACGCTGCTCTAATTTGGAATGTATGATAACCACCATCTACTATAATGCTTTGCTGAGTTTCAAAAACCAGAGAGTGAGTTGAAAGTGAAAATGTCTGCATGCAAAGCAATGAGCCAAGTCCTGCCTATTTGAAGCTTCGGTTGTGAAAAACAGCTTTTTTCCATTTGAAGATTTTATCGAAAGTAAAAGGGTGCCTGCCACGTGAAGATCTTGAGACTGTAATCCATGCTTTCATTAACACACAGCTGGATTACTGTAACTCACTGTACTTTGGTCTGGACCAAAGTACAGTGCAGCTGGTACAAAACGCAGCTGCCCGTCTGCTCACTGGCAAATGCAAGCGTGACCACACATCCCCTGTCCTGGCTTTGCTGCACTGGCTCCCGGTTGCTTTTAGAATAGATTTTAAAATTGCAATATTTATTTTTTAAAGCGCTCAATGGCCTAGCCCCCCAGTACTTGACTGAGCTCCTCCGTGTCCACGCCCCTGCCAGAGCATTAAGATTTGCCATCTACTGTTCACCCCAAAAACGGGGCTAAAAACTAAAGTTGACAGAGGCTTTGTGGCAGCGGCCCCGAGACTCTGGAACAACCTGCCCTGGCAAATCCGCTCTGCAGGATCGATCGAGGTTTTTAAATCTTCTCTAAAGACGCACCTCTTCTCTCTGGCTTTTAATCAAGTTTAATGGGTGGATTGCGGCTGATGGTAGCTTGCGGTGTTCTTAAGAGCTGATCAGCTGTACAAATTCTTACTCAACCCTAGGCCTCATTTGGTATTTACATATAAGTGTACGTGTAGTGTCACCAGAATGGGAGATGCTAACACAGTGCTGTTACATTGCCTCCAGCTGTTGCTATAAAACCAAAGATGTGGCATGTTCACACCTCCATAAACATATGATCTGAAACATAAATCAGCCTCATGAAGGTTGCATGCACTGCAATGACAAAGTAAACTTTTGTTAGTAACTTGGTTTATCTTAAATATCCATCCATGTTCTCCCATTTATTTGGTGAGAAGCAAGGACGGAAATCAGATGAGATATCTAATCCCACCAGTTTAAGGTCTACCCTGAGGTGTCCTCCCAGGTAGAGGTGGCTGAAAAACCTCCAAAGAAAAGCACCCAGGCCATCCTAATAAAGGGCAACAAACACCACCACTGGCTTGTTGCAGGAAGGAGCTGTGGCTAATCTGACTTCAAGTTCTTCACCCGATCGCTAAGGTTCAGCCCATTCCACCTACAGAGGAAGCTCACTTTGGCAGCTTGTATCTGTCCATGATCTTATTGTTTCGGTCTCTACCTAGAGCTCAGGACCATAGGTGAGAGTTGGGATGCAGACTGACTTGTAAATGCAGAGCTTTTCCTTCCAGCTCAGCTCCCTCTCGAGCATCATGGTCAGATACTGTTCCCACAGTAATGCTAACGTGACACCAATCCACGTAGCCACCTGACGATCTATTTTTCTGTAAGTTGCAAACAAGATCCCAGATTAATTCCTTCACTTAGGACAGCAACTCACATCCAACCCAGAGAAAGCAATTCACTAGTTACTGGCAGAGAACCATGACCCTAGACTTGGAGGTTCTGACTCTCGACCTGTCTACTTCACACTCAGCTGAAGGTCATGGCTCGATAACGCCAACAGAACCATGTGATGAAGCAGAGACGCAACTCTGAAATTTCCTAACCGGACACCCTCCTCATCCTGGCTGCACCTTGAGATCCTCTCTGTAATTATCACAGACAGGATTGGAGATAAGGAGCAGCCCTGTCGGAGTCCAACACCCATCACGAACTCTCCACGGCACCAGTTCCTTGTATGTCTGCAGTACAAGGAACTGGGAATATAAGGAATACAGGTATAGGCCTTCTCAAAGTCCACAAACACACGTGCAGATCTATTTTAAAGCTTTCTGGTAGTGAAACAGATAGTGGGACAGCTGACAGTTACGAAAGATTACATCTAAAATAGCTTCCCGTTGGTCGGTAATACGTTGGAGTGTAGTTTGTTGACTCCAGCGGAAGTGGTTTGGTGTTTTGTCTCGCTGCAAACTGAACGACAAACACGATTCCACTGCTTGAATTCCCGACGTTATATAACCAGATCACTATGTTAATGTTCTCAAACCCCATAGTTTATCCATCTTTTTCATAGCCTATTTTGGAAAAAATGTGCCTTTAATCTTTAAAATAACAGGAGAATTGATGAAGTAATAGGAAAGTCATAGCTACTACCTAATTTTCCAAAGTTAGGTTAGCCGGGTTGCTAACTAGTTGTGTAGTATTAGACTCTTGCTGTGGTATTTGAGGCTTGAGTACTTTCCTCTGGCAGCAGGCTACATGACTCACTGCTGTAGCTGTTATCTAGAGTTTACCTGTGGGGATTATTGCAGGAGAGAACGATAACACCTCCGTCCACACGTTTCAAAATATTATGAGTGTGCACGTACTGTGATTGATTTCTGTTTCTTCTCCTGTTTGAAAACTTTGTACTGTGACTGAATACCATGCGCTTATCGACAACGCCTTGATCCAGCGCTGTTGAATGTACAAGCAGCATTTGGCACTGAATAAGGCGGCGATAAAATCTTGAGTGAGCACAATCTCCATGTTGTTCATCTTGTTTGATGGCATCCACACACACTATTTTTACACACTGGGAAACCGCTTTATTGTCATAGTGACATATTTAAAGCTTTTTTTTTTTCTTTCAACAAACCAGTTTTCAAATATTTGGTTGGGATTTGTGCAGAAAATGCAATCACAGTAGTTTATCAGGTAAAGCTCTTAACTGTGGTTTGTGCAAACCAGCAGACCTTCAACACATAATCCAGTTTTATCTTGCTGTCCAGTGTAATGGAAAAACACTCACACCATGCCGACACAGAGTTGAGAAAGTGCAAGGAAGTTATACAACACTACACTGTACAATTACAAGATTATGCAAGATATGATAAAAAAGGAAAACACCTTTTTTTGGGCACACTGGATATAAACTGTACTTTTTTATTTTTTTTTACCTTTCTCTAAATTTGTGCACACTCCACAATCCGATAAAGTTGCAGGCTACATATTGCTCTAAGTTTGCAGTACGTTTTAAGTTTTGCTGCTAAATGATCATAACAATCACTTTAACCATAGAAGGACATGGAAATGAATGCCAGTAGTCGCCAATACAACACAAACCAATGGTGCATTTGAGGTAACGTGTGTTGAACGAATGTTGCGTTGTGGTGGAGGTCTGAGGAGGATGTTGGACCGCAGGGCGTCTGTTTGGGACCGAGACTGACGCAGAGGGAGGCAGAGAAAGCATCACCTCAGGTCACCAGCTGTGCCTTTATATCAGTAAAACTATTTTGTGGTTAAGAGAAATTGTTCAGTCATTGTTCTAGTTGAAGAGATGTTCCCCCACATTTAGCAGGTTTATTCATTTACTCTCTTTATCATTTCCAGCATCGCTTGTAAAACTTGACTTTCTATTTTGCGGCATTTGCTACTGACATGGAAACTGGTTTAAACTTTTAAGTCATGTATCGCTTCATGAAGAAAAACGTGCTCTGTTCTCAGGTGGTCCTTAAACCTGAACTATTAATAGATGCCACTTTGTCCCAGTGACCATTCTTTGGTATGGGGGCAGACTTCCACTGTAAAAGAGC